AAAAACGATTATGCAATTCATGAAATACGTAGTGTTATAATGGAAGTAAAATAAAAATATCAGCGCCACACCCTCAATTATTCAAAATGCTCGTTTTTGTGGGTTTTGCGTGTCTAAACGAAATCTCATTTGCGTTTGGCGAATTAGGTAATGTCATAAAGAGAGCAAAAGAATCAAAACACCGCGGAACAACCCGTGGGCCTTTGCTTAACGTCACTCCTTGTGATGTAAGTCTGCTTGTCTCTCGGCTTTTGATCTTCATTTTTGTATTTTTTTAGCATGCTGAAGTTTCTATGCCTGATTGCGAAACCTTCATGGTTGAAGTGCTCTTGAGAATTTTGCTCACAGATTAGGATAGTGCTATCGTTGGCTAAAATCTGTACTAATGGCGTATAATTTTAAATAACCTAAACAATTTCGCCGCATGGCTTGGCATGCGTTTCGCATTTGCAAAGAGTAAAGAGCCACTACGAGGATGGGTGGGATCACGAAACTCATTCTTGTGGACTAGCCAATCGACATGGTAGATTAATTTTCTTACTTGGTGTATTAACGTTATTGCCTCAGCTCAGTCCTCGGTCTGAAATTTCCAAGCTGTCGTTTTCATAAAAGGAACCATCAGAGATTCCCAATGTGTAATAAACGCTCAAGACCGGATCGAATACAGTTGTAAAGCGCGTCGTATGTAAGGTGTGTGAGGAGACAAGATTCTGGAAATTCCGCCGCCTTCTGGACATGGCACTGGCAACTGGCTTGAATCGTGATTGGCTGTCGCGTCCACACCTTCGGCCAATCAGAGCTCGCCTCAATGCTGAGCTTTCAAGCGGCCCGATCTTCCGGCAGGTCGTGTGCGGGGTAGTGTAGTATTGTAGTATTCGCTCTATGGAAGCACCAAGGGACAGTGATTTTCCGAAGGCGGGTGTTCACGACAATTTCTGTGGATGGAAAAGATAAACATAGCTAATGAGCTGAAGCCCAGTAGGCAAGGTGGTGCATCACCCATAAATCATCCAAAATGGCGGAAACCGTACAATACAATGGGTTTCTTGACCGCAGCAGTACCTCACTGCGGGTCGTAAAGTGCTTTCAGTGTGGGATGTCGCCTGATAACTAGGCGGTTGTATGGATTCCCATGGACTGGCTGGAAACGAAATTACTTTTCGAATCGAGAGGGTCCGGACAGCTTTTGCCAACTTCCGACACCTATGGCACTGGTGTGTCTGTCAGGGACAGAACCCAGTAAATTACTCACTCATACGTTACACTGATTAGGACGTATACTGCGCACGTCAGAGGGAGATCCGCATCGCGGAGCCATTTTCACCCAGCCCGGGTGGCCCGCAGTTCGAACCCGACTTTTCACTCGACTTACCCTGTCTAGGCTTGGGCAACCTGGCAACACCCCGGCCCTCGTACTTTCTTCGCGTGGCATGGCCGCTAGGCACCGTAATGGTGCTACAGCTGAATGATTATCCTTTTTTACTCCTATTTCCACCCAGCTGTGTGCTGATTGGAAGCGACTGAGAGGTGAGCAGCTAATGGTCCCGCAACGAAGTATGAAAACACTAACCAGTAATTACTGTCAGATACTGGTCAGTAAATAACTGTCTAGTCAACAGCTGCTGCCTCCTTGGATGGGGACTGACTCAACTTACTAGTGGTTACTGCAGTAACCATGGCCCACACATGTCAAAGTTTACCAGTAATTGGCACTCATGCGTTCAAGCTATCATTTTTAATGCATAGGTTTCCACTTTCCGGAACTAACTGATCATACATCGTCATCGACAGCATGATATCAGTATTTAACACCGACGCCTCACTGCCGTACAACCATGATTTATTTGAAAACCTTATTGTGAGGAAAGGACTAAAGGTGAACGGGGAAGGGACTTAGTACTAGCTTACTACAATCATTCCGAGGTGGCTACATCTCCAGACACTCATCCAGGCAATCAGGATAGGAACTGACCACAAAAACGTCACTGACATCGGTTGACAGCCATATCTTGCAGTGTCTCCAACCGTGCGCAGTGAGAATCATGTGGTCCCCCTCCGGGAAAGCTAGTAGCGCCGACAGCACCCAAACGTTTCGTGATTTCATTTATCTGCTGCGCGAGTCGAGTAGTTCTAGGACAGGATTAGAAGGGCGTAATTTACGCTTTAATCGTCTAATAAAGGTAGTACATAAGCTGAGAATATAATGAGAATTAGGTCCATGCAAAGGTATGATTTATATAGTCATGACAACACCCCTCTACGAAATCAAGGGTTGGCCACCTCTCTGCTTCCGCTACTCTGAATTGGGCATGTAAGACAGCCCTCTCTTCGGCAAATGATGGTTAGGCATACGCGACACGTCCCAACCAACAGAGCTCTTGGTGCTGGATACATCATTGGTTGTTCCTTTTGCACAACCGAAAACTCGCTTTCTATTTGCCTCATTACAGATTCGCCGATGCAAACCAAACGAGCTATGGTTCTGAGACAACGATTGTGGAATACCTGATGATGTCTCAGTTCCGCTGCTCAAACAGATCAAGTCTCACAGCTATACAACAAAACAGCCCACACTGTAGCTTGATACATACGTCCCTTGAGATTCAGGGCTCTATCGCCCTGATGCCATAGGTGCCTCAAATTAGCAGTCGCGACCCGGGCTTTGCAGATTCGTGCATTGACCTCGTCTATCGCTAAAATCAGAACCAATACAACTTCCAACATACGTAAAGTGCCCCACAACTTTCAGTACTTCTCCCTGGATTGTAAATGGCGTGTTCATTGACTACATGTCCACGAGCATGACCTTACACTTTGTGGGTGCAAAGTGCATGCCAAGGGACAGGATGACTATCAGTTCATCCGAAACACTTGCGCCTTCTCTTTCTCGAAGATGAGAACGATGTCGTCTGCATATTCCGGATCGACGAGGTTTTCGGTCTCGACTGATCATGTCATCTTCTCTAATGCTTGGCTACATCCCCTCTACTCTCTATTTCCTCAGCGACCGAAAGGAACAGCTGCGTGGAATAACCGCCCGGGGGTTGTCTATGTTGCATCTAGTGTCCAGTTCAAAGCACTATAGACGCTTTCTTATGCGAGTCCTTGCGCTGCCAAGCTTACTGCCCTGCATCAAGAACTTAAAGAGCAGTGCTACACACCTTTTTCGCTTGTGCCCTTCAGGTGAACGGCAGGTACTGAACGATAAAAACAAAGCCGACCTGGGTCGATCCTGTGTGTCCATCGATGAAAACCAACGTACTTTTGGTGCATAGTTTGTAGCTGGTAAACCGAACTCAACCTGTCTATCTCACGAACATTTTCCGTCCATCTTTTTTTGTATACTTTTTTGTCGCACAGTCAACCACATTGTTTGCTTTAACTGTCCTCTGCGGCTCTCTTAATTTCTAAAGTTTCCCACTGTCAGACCAGGCTGTACCGGAGAGCTTAAAGTAGCTCAGTGGTTGAGGAGCGAACTTACTAACCGGAAGGTCCTCTGCATCTCGACTGCTTCTGTCTACACTTGGGCAACATGACAATATATTGAACCTCTTGCTTCTTTCGGTGGCTAGGCACCGGAAGAGTGTTACAGCTCAACCCTTTTCCATTTCTTTTCTCACTCGTTTCAGCTTCGGTCGGAACATGTTTGGAATTGTTTGAAACCTTAGATTAACATGGCTGGTATTCCGTCTGTATCAGTAGTTGATGAATTGGAGGAGCTTCTCGATGAGATTAGTACCTGTGTACCGAATGTACCCGGAAAGAATCGACTGCTTCGTGGTTGCAGAAAAGAACTAAATGCATTTCAACAGGTTAGCTAAACGCTTTTTTGTACCTTCTTGACTTGTCCTCCGTTCCGTTCGATGATGCTTCTCTCGAATTATTGTCATCCGTGCACTGAGGCGCCACAGCTTAACCCTAAGAAGCTATGTTTTCCTATACCGGTCTCACCCTTAATTGCTTAATGTCTTTCAAGTTCATCATCAGGATTATTTATACTGCGGTTGAGTTAGTCGGCTCTTACGAATTCTAGTAGACTTTGTTGAATTTAACTGCTTCGATCTATCTCAATTCATCTGTTTAGCTGTCCTGTGCTTGTTTCTGCGCACTTTTCCCACAGACATTACCCCTGTGAATGCAGTATTGTATTAGTGGCAGAGGAAGGAATAGTCGTCCGCTGCAATATTCAACACGTACTTATTGTTTTCGGGTCTGCCTCGTCAGGCGCCTCTTCGCACGTTGTGTGTGCGGCTTAGTCCTACTGTCGGTTTTTAGTGGACTGTAATAAACTCGATTTGCGTAATATTTGGCTCTATAAATAATACACAGTTTCCCTATGTGGAGTGATCATCGGTAAGGAAGTAAATGACCGCTCCTGAGCAACGAATTGCCCTAGGTTAATCCCGCGAGGATGAGATGAGGGTGACTGTAGGGGCTATTTATTTATCTACTCCCATCAATCTGCATACTTAGAAGCACGCATCAGGAAGCCCGCCTTTGTTGCCCGGGCTTTATCTTAGTTTTCGCGTTTGAGCAAGTCTGGGACGATATTGGTAGGTTATGGGTATTTTTGGACATTGGGAAGACAGATCTCCTGATGTTTTAGTAGCACTGGGAAGCCTGTTTCTTTCCCTCTCGTCCGACTCCAGCTCCCTCGCGATCAGGTGGAAAAAATGACTGTCGGTTCGAACCTTCCTTACTTCAAGGCCATCACTCGTCTTGCTCGTTCCTATGCGGACCGTTTGGTAGGGCTGCTCTGCCGTTTTCGGATGCCCCCTTCTGATGCCATAAGTCATGCCGACGATGTTTCGAAGTATGTTCCACATCAACCGCTTGTCCACTGTCCATTATCGACTTCTGGATCTTTTGGTAAACCCGGTAGGTGTTTGTTTTCAACTTTGCGTGTTACGTATCTACTCTGTAGCGGGGCTTATCAGGCAGGGTAGTCGTCCAATGCCAATAATTTTTTAATGATGTTATGTCGTGTTACAAAACCGATGCAGGACGAACGGAGTCATCTGTTCTAAGTGATGGGCGTACAACGGGAAAGCTATTAGTGTAGTGGAGAGAGGGGTGGGAAAAAGTATTTGAAAGAGAAATATGGGAGGCGTCAGCAGTAGCCTATTTTCGCTTACCCGACCTGCTGCATACAGTAAGTAAGGCACAACGAGACGGCTGATGGGACACGAGTTTATTTCTGAACTTAGGTATCATGGTTGTACGTGCGCTGGGATACCGTCAGGGCGCCTACACGTAGAAATGAAGACGAGTAAGGTCATCAAAAAATGCCTAACCGCGGGAAATTCGAATGCACTACCATTTCTATGGAACAAGTCGCCATACGTTACAACCTGATATGAGAGACTATGACTGTCTCAGGGACACCCCTAGTATAGCTGAATGGATCGCTGAGGTGCGCAAACCTTCACCGCAGAGTAAGGGTCAGTTTCCTCGTGACGGTTTAATAAAACTATCAGGTCATTAGGAGAGGTTTAGGTCTATTCACTGAGGTTTACGTGTGATGTGTGTTAAAACCTTCCATATTTTAGTAGATCACGCGCATATTCATGTGAGATTGTGCTCAATGCGATTACCCTTTCGTTTTCCACTCTGTAACCGTTTGACCTCCGTCGTTCATTCACCAAAACCGTTTTTCTCCCAATCTCCACAGGCAGTGTGTCCGTGGACCTGATCTGTATACAAAAACGAATGGACAAGAACGATGTGCTCCATAATACAACTACTCCAGACTGCTGGGCCCCATCTTTGTGGATAAAAGCACTGACGCGTGATGCCACTCGCCTCAACTCAGCTTGGCGAGGTAAGTGTGTGTCTCGAAATTCTCCAGCTATCTAAACCGACGCCAGACAAGAATCCTCATCTATATGCGAACCACTAACGAATTTGCTGTTGCAGACAAGCAACACCTTGTGGAATGACCAACCAATACATGATCTGGATTTCTGTGCAATGATTCAGGGACTCTTCGGTCGTGAACAACCAAACACGAGACGCCAGACTGTAAATTAATGATCTAGCGCTATTCCGAAAAACTGCTGCAGGAGGCATTTCGTGCTTACCAAGGCTCATCAGACGGTCCCGAAAGAATAAGTTTTGTGACCCTTCATTTAGTGGTTTCAGGGTGTTGGGGGCAAGAGGGCTCAAGCGTAACTTTGCTGACCAAAAAGTCCGTGGTTCGAATCCGACTTCTGCCTCTCGACTTCCCCTGTCTAGGCTTGAGCAACCTGGCGGTGTCCCAGCCCTCGTGCTTCCTTCGGTTAGCATGGCAGTTAGGCACCGTGCTACAGCTGAACGATTTCCTGTAGATTTTCAGCCCTTGTGAGATCAGCAGACATGATTACACTGGTCGGACAGTTACGTGACGGAAGGAACTTAGTCCCAATGCAGAACGACTTCAACCGTCAAAAACACCTTCAGCGACATTTTTCGTGGAGGCGTATACTGAATAAGTATATGTGGCCAGCCCTGACACACTAGGGCCATTAAGAAAGATTGGAACCAGGCAATTGCAACTATTCTTTGAGCCCGACCGCCTTCGTGTGCTTACTCGTTAGTTGGTTGATTAATCCAGATGCCATTAGTAGACGAGTAACATTTCAGTTGGCAGTTGCCGATATTGGTGTGTCTACTGGCACCAGGACAGCAAAAATCTAACAAGGGTACTCAGTGTGCTGGATTTGATGAGCTCAGGTTCAGCTGTAACACTCTTCCGGTGCCTAACTGCCATGCCACCAGAAGGAAGCATGAGGGTTGGGATACTGCCAGATCGCCCAGGACTAGATAGGGGATATCGAGAGGCAGAGGTCGGGTTCGAACCGCGGACCTTCCGGTCAGTAAATTCAGGCTCTAACCACTAAGCCATCTCGCCTCCCATGAGGTCAAGTAGAGAGGAGGGAATGTCTTTTTTGGTGAATGGTGCTCATTTACATACTTTCATAACATCAGGGTACCTTTGTTTCTTGCTACCCAGTACGTTTGGTATTAAGTACTCGTAGATCTCGTCCGTGTGAGTGAATTTGATGGCTTTCACTGTGAAAACTCAATTCAGACAGATGGAATAAGATGCTCTGCGGCGTCTTATCTCCATGACTGATGTCATCCAACACTAACCATGGCCCAACTGATACAAGTACCTAACCAATGAGCGTAGAGTCTACCCAGGCCTCCTGGTGAATGGGCAGCTGTTCTCTTGTCCGCTCGAAAGACCGGATTTTCATGCACTCAATTTTGCCCGCGACCCCTTCCGGAAAAAACATCTGTATAGTTAATTAAGCCCATCCTTGGAGATAGGAATAACCAAGTAAACCTGTTGAATATTTGGAACTTTTCAGTTGTACCTTCCTCCGTATCTAATCACTACACCCTAGTCATACGAAGGTAGAATACTCCGGACAGATCCCAAGGTCTCACGGTCGTTGTAAGAGAAACTGTTAAGTTTCCAATGGACACTTGATGATCTACTGTAACGTCAGCTCAGGTCACAAATAGGGACCGAACACGCTATCTGATTCTGGCACGCTATCTGGCATTCTGGTAAGTTCTTGCTGTAATTACTGCATAGTGCTTTAACGGTAGTTGTGTACCAATTTGCTGTTTAAGTCCACAACAACCTCACAGAATGGATGCCCGCCTCTGGATTATTAAAGTAATGCTGTCGGTGATGATGATGATTGAATCCACGTGCAGCTGGAGTGATTTTTATGCCTGTTTTACCTGTTCCGCAGGTGACGTCACACAAGGTGCAACCTGCCTTTATCGTCAGACGGAAGAATTGGTATCCACTGCTGCTTGGTACCAGCGCGGACAACCTCCAGGCTGGATACAAGTTTTGATACATTGGTTGCCCTCCAAGAATCAGGATATCTCTCATTTAGACTCTGATTTAGTGGAAAGCTTAACTCGGGTGCTCCGCGTCCAGATTTTGATGCATACCGACCCGTGGTATCCTGGGACGCACGTTGCTTCGTTGCCTTCAACGATTACCCTAGCTCACTCAGCCCCTCTCTCCGTTAGGAAATACTTGCTGGCAGCTACCCGTTTTCGTCGACAGATGTGCACCAAGTTGCTCGCTATGGATTGTGCGACCACCGATGACCGGGCTGTTTTGGTCAAGCGGTTCACGTATTTTCTCAGTTATGAACAAACTGACGTGGATTCAGAAACGGTGTTGGATGAATATGAAGAGGAAAAAGACCCAGTGATCCGCACTCCTCTAGATGCTGTTTTACATCGGGCTTGTGTTGTCCCGTTCGGGGGCCTCACACCGGAACAGTAAGTTTTGGTAATTTCTTACCTTCCATCCCTTTCCAATGGATCTAGTAAAACGTCACGTAACATAGTTGACTCATTAACATCTTGGCGCCTTCCTCATCTTGAATGAGAACGTTTGCAACCAGTTTTTAATTCCAACTGTGTCACTCTCTTGGCCCACGAAACTCCTAATCATGTCCATTCCTAAGCGCGTCTGTTTGGCCTGTCCTCTATACGCTGATCAGAATCGTACACTAATCCTGAGTCAGATCGCTTATAAAAGTAGCAATCGTTGAACTACATTCAATGTAGATGAGAACATGATCTGTCTAACTGGAAGCTAGAGAAGCAGTGATCGCGGTTAGCAGGTCCGTGGTTTCCGAGACGACTAACAGACTCTTTTCTGGAGTCGCCCATGCTTGCATGAAAGTGTAGTGCTTCTGTGCTCAGCAATCCGTTAAAAAGACAAAAGAGCAAGGTTAATTTGGTACCTAGACTCAGTTTCGCCTTTCCTTTGGAATATTGTCAGCTTTGTTATCTGGTTTGAGCAGTATACTACTAATACTAATACTACTAATACTACAGCATTAACGATGGAGTTCCAACGCTTAAACATCTTAGTAACTATCTGAAGGCGTGTCATGTTACGACCACATATGTATCGCGTGATAGATTTGCCTACCAACGCACTCGGACAAACGGATCGGTGAGTATTAAGTCTCCTGGGGTGTGGAAAGAGGTTATATAGCGGCTACCTTTGGCTTACTTAATTTTCCGATAACCTCGTTTAGTTTGATCAGTAGGTATGCACCAACAAGTTTCCATCTGATTTTTTCGGTTCGTGTTGCGTCTACCTGTATCATACCATGCTATGCTTACGACACTGACCCACATCAGGCCAAGTCGGTTTTTGTTAGTGTAACCCTGTTCAAGCTGGGATGACCGTGTGTGATTTCACATTGCGTCTCGACACGGCGTACCCACATTCGACAAGATAATGACCGGATTCCACACATCCCACGGAACACGTTTAGCAGTTACGCTGCAGAGCAACTGCCTTCTGCATTCGGGCGTTTGTTCAGAATCCATGCCAGTTACACTCAAACGGCAAGTATCCTTGGATCTTGCGGGGAACAAACTGTTTACTAATGGATATCGCCTTCTGATTCTTAAGTTAGCCGCTTACAGACGAGCGCACCAACAGTTGGTGAACCGAACTTGTTAATCCGCCCATTGGACTTGCATTTAACAGTTGTCCATTTACACACAAACGTTTCGCCTTACCGATTTCTCCGGTACTAGAGAGTCCTTCAACTTCAATTGTATCAGTACCCAACATCAACACCGCATCTCTCCATCTTCCACCATTTTGGTACCACGACCCATGCATCCGGTTTACCCAAGTACCCAAGCCCAGTTCGCTGTTCGTGGAATCACCCAAAAACATACTATGTACTGCTGTTCGTGGAATCACCCAAAACATACTATGTACTATTCGCGTACTGCAGTGTTTTCTTCAGACATAGCAACTGACGTATACGACGATTTAACCATTCCCGACGTCACCAGACCTTACACTGAGTTGCGCAACACAACGCTGTAGTTTATCATAGCGCAAGTGTATTGAGCAACTGCCAATTCGGAGTGGCGTAAACAGAGAGGTGACCAACCCTTGACTTGGCAGAGGAGTATGAATGAGATCACGAAACGCTTGGGTGCTGTCGGTGCTACTCGCCTTCCAGGATGGGGACCGCGTGATCCTCACTGTGCCTGGTTGGAGACACTACAAGAAATGGCTGCCAACCGATGTCAGTGGCGTTCTTGTTGTCAGTTTCTGTGCAGATTGCCTGAGTGAATGTCTGGAGGTGTAGACACCTCAGAATGATTGTGTTGAGTTAGCACTAAGTCCCTCCCCCATCCAACTTTACTCTTTTCTTTACAATAAGGCTTTCAAATAAGTCATGGTTGTACAGCAGTGAAGCATCGGTGTTGAACACTGATATCATGCTGTCGATGATGATGATGATGATGATGATGATGATGATTCTATCTCAACGGTTACGACGACTATATACCATCATGGGAGACTGCAAACTTGATGAAATTTTCGAGAAATACACTCGTTTGTAAATCAATTTGGTTTTTACGAGAGACTCAACTGAGATGTTTTCACGCCCATGTCCAAACAGTTCTTGTGTCTAGTCGAGATAGTGTTCCTGCTAGCATTGCTGATTAGATTCTTGAAATCGAACCGCGTGCTCCACTAGCATTTCCTCCTTAGGTACGCCAGCTTTTGTGCCCGCATTCCACCATCGTTTCGAAAATTTAGTTGATCAATTCTCACCCTTATCTCGACTCTATCCATTTCGCTATGCACTGCGTTTACGTTTCTATTCTCGCTGACATTCATGCTCTATAGGAAATGCTTGTTACTGGATGTACCGTAGTACATCTGGATATCGTGCACTCCAATTGGTCAAAAAGTTAATTAGACAAGGGTTAACCTCTACAGTTACAGTTGTCTTTGCCAACAATAGGCTGTGGATCAAATCCAGTAAGATGTGGACGCAAAACGTTTTGCTCTGGGCCCGGAAGTAAAAGCCTGCAGACCATTGGACTCGTGTTATTCGACAGTAGACAGGTTTTCAAGTCTTCTAGACTATCAGTCCACCGACAGTACTTCAAAAAAATCATTCAGCCCTAGCAGCTTTTCGGTCCCTAACTGCCATGTCACCAGAACGAAGCGTGAGGGCTGCCAGTTTGCCCAAGCCTAGACAGGCGAAGTCGAGATGCAGAGGACCTTCCGGTCAATGAATCCGCGCTCTAACCATTGAGCCATCTCGCCCCACTGACAGTACTTGTATCATGGTGAACTCAACGACAACTAAATTTCGAGCTTTTCTTTTCCTTTCTTATGGCACGCTTTTCCTTTTTGTCGTGTGGGACAACCCTCCTAGTGGGTATTGTTCCATAATTGTGCATACCTTTTCTCCGACTATGCGGCAAAGACAATTTGCTCGTGTATTTGGATCTATCAGATTGGAAATGTTGCCCCGAATTAATCTGGACGTATCAGCGCTCATTGCAATGGTTTCGGAACTTTCGCAGTTTATGCCTAAGGAAGCGCTATCATCTGTCATCAATGATTCTCAATCCATTCTTCAATTCCTCGCAAGTTCGGAACGACGGGAACAAATGTTGCATCAACCTCGATTCGCCTCGTCAACGTTCGATTGGCTGCTAGAAGCCGAATCAGAGCAGCCGGTCTTGTTGACCGTTGATGACTATCTAAAGGGTAACGGATGATACTTCGTTTGATTTGTATTGACTGTTTGATCCCCCCCGGTTATAAAACTTTGTTTTCTTGCGCCCTCAGACACATGACGTCTGGAGCTAGTCAACACAAGGAGGCCTTCGATCTGGTTTGCCTGTTTATTTTGGCGTGAACTCAAGCTAACATACATTGAAACAACTGGCATAATCTGTTTGGCGATGCGTAGTCTGGCAGGTTCCGTGTACTTGATGTTGGAGTATTTGCCATTTGTTCATCTACTTACCGCTTCTACTCAATCTGTTTCCACGTCACTCTGGTAGCCCACGTCATATGATATGAACAGTTCTCCTGCCGTCCTGGCCCAACTACTACGTAAAAAATAAGGATTGTCGTCTTAGTTGGAGATGGTCAGCAATGTACTCTTTCGATCATATCTTAAATTGAGCCCTTCCCATGCAAAATGTGCAGTCTCCGTTTGCTTCACGGACACGTTCTAAACGCACGTGAGTTATAGTGTGTGTTGTGTGTGTGTGTGTGTGTGTGTGTGTGTGTGTGTGTGTGAAAGCGATGTGCTTCGTCTCGTGAGGCCGTGAGTGGCGTAGCGTGTTGTAGAGTGCTTATCTTGCGTGTCAACGGAAGAGTTTCAATACCGATACGACCCCTAATATGAAAAACAAACCGAAAGAAATCGTTCAGCTGTCGCACCCTTTCGGTGCCCAGCCACCCGAAGGTTGTATGAGGGCTGGGATACTGCCAGATTACCCAAGCCTAGACAGAGGAAGTCGAGAGGCAGAAGTTGGGTTTGAACCACGAACATTCAGGTCAGTAAATTCGCGCTCTAACCATCTCGCACTGTTCATGAGTTCAAAGACGACTGAATCTCGGGTCCATTGTTCCTCTTTTTAGCACGTGCCCACCAGAATGATTATCGCAGGACAGGTGTGAGGTTTTTCAAACGATCGGCATGCGCGTACGCATGCTTGAATTTTTCTTTGTATCACTAGACAAAATACTAAAAAGGATTTGTTCGATCGAAGCACATTCCTCAGCACCGGTTCTCATGTATATTGTCTTAGCTTACTGAGTTTCATCTGATTGGACTCCCTGCTGTTCAGCTGTCAGCATTTTGCCCGAGTACACGAGATAACTTTGAATTGGCCAGTTGTTGAGATTCATGAAGAAGGAACATCCGCGTGGAAGGTGACAATTCATCTATGAATATAAACCTGGGTAGATAGCCTGTTAATTCGGAAGTATCCAGAGACATGCCTACATCGTAGCCACTGTACGGACTTTGCAATAAGACGGTGCACAACCCGCAAGAGTTGAAACACAAGGCGGGTTCTTGTTGTATTCAATCAGCAAGACCATTCAAACGACCGAAGCTGAAGCAATTTAGCGTCACGATTGCTGGGCTTTTTTATATAACGTAAGCCTTCTTTTGGTTCGGTAGCCAAGCCTGAGTGGCCGGTGGACGAACCTAACCGGTCAACACAATTGGGGACTGAAACAGCCCCGTTCTGCATGATGTTGAGCAACTATGTCTTTCATCAGTCAACCTAAACGTCGATATTTCAAAGCAGACTGATGCAGGGCATGATCCAACTGAAAATATGGAAGGCAAATCTAACGTAGCTTCGGTTGAAACCCGTTCATTCAGAATTTGGCTGTCCCAAGAAACCTCAATTAGGTGCAGCGTCGTCAAACCTAATGCGTGAAAATTCAAACGCCACGTAATGCTGGTTTACATGACTGTCGTGTGAACGAAATATTCGGTGTTGACGTTATTAATGGTGCCACCCGAAGGAAGCGCGAGGACTGGGATACTGCAAGGTTGCTCAAACCTAGACAGGAGCAGTCGAGATGTTGAAGGGTTTGTTCGTGGACCCTGCCATTAGCCTCTGACTTAAAAGTTTGAATCGCGAGACAGCGGTTGTTAGGATTCCCTTGGGGGATCCTTCCCCGAACCAGTGACTCAATAGCCCGACCTAATTGGCTGTAAAGGACCGGCCTGGCCCGAGGGCGCAGGGAATAGGGCATTATTGTCTCACTTCTGATGCGGCTGCGCACAGCAGGTGCCTTCTGAGCAGCACAGGGTTCTTTGGTTTCAAAAGTATTTCGACCCCAGGACTCAAATCACCAGTGCTTAGTGACATTGGCGGGAATAGCCCAATCGCGCAGTCAGTGGCGCTTGTGCCTCAAACCTATCGCCTTCAATGTTTGGCTACCCGACTTACGAGCAAAATGAACATTTCTTCGCCTCCAAGGTTTGGTTGTATGTTCCACTTTCCCGTTTTCCGGTGGTCGAAGCTGTAGCAGCTGGAACCAATGTGCCTATGGCACACGGTTTATAGCTGAAAAATTGATTGATTGAATCGACGAAATGTGAATTAGACCAGAGAAGCTTGCATTTGATAACCGACGGATACGTCGTACGGAGATATCTCAAGGTGATGTTTGCACCGCCATAATTTTCCTATCCACAGGGAACCAGAACATTCCTCCTCATGGGATGTAACAGCTTTTATAGTCTGAGCATCGACAGGGAATAATCGAAAGCCATGGTGATCTCATCTCGGGCGCCCGAAAACTGCTTGTCTTTTTGTGTTCCTAGTCATGCGGATTCTTCATCATGGGCCCTCATCCAGAATCGACTCAGCAGGACATTGGGTAAAATACTTTGGACGTTTCTTCAACTGTATGGCCCGTGACGAAATTTAAAAGTAGATCTGTCAAATTCCAATCGGTAACGTCTGGTTTTAGCTACCGTACTCCTCAGTTCTCACAGAAAAAAGGAGATTTTGCGATAGGATGCGGCCGAGGAGAGACACTATGTGCTCTATAAGGCATTAATGTTTCTTCTGTGAGATACTTAATTTTTTTCTGAATTACCTCTGGTCACTGGCGATCGCGGAAGTGCGAGAAGAGTGCTTCGGTTCAGGTACATCGGTGTACGCACGGCCGAAGAGTTTCGACGTTCAACACTGGTTTTGCTCAAACGCACATGTACATGGTCTCTCTGCTACACGGTCCAACTCAGCGCTGTTTGTTTTTCCGTTTTAGATTCATTAGTCATTGTATGCCGGACCGCAGTAAACACATTTCTCAACATCCTCACTACCGTCGCTGGTCCCGCCGAATGGACACGGGGCATACGCCTATTGACTCACCTTGTCATAGTTCCCGATCTCGTGTCATCTGGTAATGCTCCTTCAGCGTCGAGTCCGAATGTGAAATTGAACAACCGACAGAAGAGCCGGGTAAGCCGCTCCTTGATGTCAGACGTATTCATGACTGAGTCAGTCCTCCCATATGTACATCAGGTATTCCCTAACTACACGTATCTGAAAAGAATGAGCCTATCCGGAACTATCGAGGACGCAGACATACCATCGTTGTGCTGACCCACTACCTTGTTTCAAATCAGGCAGGTTTGATTACACAGCGGGGTATTCCTGGGAGGTCTTTCCCAGGAGAGAGGTCTATATTCATTCGGGAGACCGGCTAGGACGAATCTATGGAGTCAATTATTCAATTTTCTGGAAAATCGGTTATGTCTCTTTGTATTCCGTATTATTTCTTCTCCATATGGTCCCTCGAACAGTGCTCATGGGATGCCGCTGGATCTCCGATGCCCGATTTCTCTTAGGGATCTTGTAAATCGAAGAATTTCGTGGCTTCTCCTCCCTCCCCAAGATCATCCTGTTTCAGCGTTTCACTCTCTTCTGAGCTGTTTGACTGTTCTCAGATTTACCATTCTGTAAAGAACCTTATATGCATTCAGGTAGTAGGTATGAAACTCTTGGGAAAAATGACGCTCACATATTGTTGCACTTCTGTAGTCTGACGCAGTCCGACAGCTTTTACCTCCTAGTCGGGTTTGCCGATGAACCTTACCATCGGTGCCCAGATTTTTGACATTTTGTTGTTTTTTGCGCGCTTGCATTAGCACCATGACCTGGACTTACCCATAAAAGCTCACGTATTGTTATCAGTTCTGAAGGGGTATTCATCTTGTGTTTACTAGTTTGAATCCAGGCGAGTCGATTAATCTCAGGAAGTACCTTCAAGGAGGAGCAAGCAACTGTATATGTAAGATAAACTGTATACACAGAGGTTTGCGCAGGTAGCTGCACACTAGAATCGGAGTACGTATGAATATCAGGCGGCTAATTGTTTCCAGACTCGGCAACTGCTTGGTATGCACTGCAAGCGACTGTATTTGTACGATAAATTGTATAACGGCTACACAAATGTTTGCGCAGAACAAACACAGGAAGCGGCTAATTGTCTCCAGACTCGGCAACTGCTTGGTATGCACNGCTAATTGTTTCCAGACTCGGCAACTGCTTGGTATGCACTGGACACTGGATATAAAATAGACTTGGAACGAGGATCCACACCACGTTGACTGGTGGACGAGGTGGTGGAAATCGCCAAACAACCCCAGGCGTAGAACTGGTGAGTATGTGGAGAAAAGTCGCAGATTAGGTGGGTTGACATGTGACAGTGCGCGGTGCTCAACGGAGCCCCAAGCCTCGCGGAATGAAGTTTACTGATTCTCCCCAACCCATAACTCGGTTGTCCTATCACTTATCATCCGGACAACAAAATTTGCGACCGACACTCACGGGGAATACTCTGGAGCAGTTGATGGAAATGCAGTTTGTTAATCACCTCATCCCCGCAACCCAAACATCAATCAACCGTGAGGACCAACAATTTTTGGCTAACATTCAGCATTCACTGATTAAGTATGCTAGTTGGAATGACCTTGCTGCCAGGTTTTCTACACTGTCATTAAATCGGTCAGATTGGTAACCTGTTCACCTGGTCTGCCGAAACTCGCATCAAAAGCGCAACCTTTCCCCAAAAAAGATCAATTCACTGCTTATCATACCAATCCGAAACGATGACTTGTAGATGGATCCTAAACATTTCCCAATCGTTAGGCTCAAGTCCCTTGGTGCGTGTCGTGATTTGCCGCATTGTACACAGTCAGGGGACCAGAAAGTTTCGATTGGCAATGCCAGTAGTACTCAAACTTAACTTTTGAATGTCCTGTCTCACAGTGGTTTGAGCGCGAATTTACCGACCGGGAGGTTCGTGGTTCGAACCCGACCTCTGCACCTCGACTTACCCTGTCTAGGCTTGGGCAACCTAACAGTATTCCAGCCCTCGTGCTTCCTTCGGGTTGCGTGGCAGCTAGGCACCGAAGGGGTTTTACAGCTGAACGATTATCTTATGACAGTGACTTAGGAGAAATCCACTGTCTTGCCAGAAAGTTTGCATTTTCCGGTTTTTGTGAAAGAGTGATCCCCATTCCGCACCAGTAAAGCCGGGATTATCAAAAGTTTCCGGTTTATTTTCAGGCTGTTTGACACTTCCATCGTTATCCTACTGGCGGATTCGTTGGACCGTAGCGTAGTCCTTTTGGTTAGGGCTTGGCAGACCATTGTAGTTGTTTTTGAAGTCAGAATCTTTCCATCGTTTCGTTTTTTCATCGGTCTTTGGGACTGAGGAGTTCCGGATTTCATTTGATGTGTTCAATATTGCCTTCAAACAAATCACGTTAAGGTAATGTTGGGAGTGAGATGGCTCAGTGGTTAGTGCAGAAATTTACTGACTGGAGAGTTCGCGGTTCGAAACCGACATCTTCATCTCAACTGCTCCTGTCTAGGCTTGGACAATCTGGCAGTATCGCAGCCCTCGTGCTTCCTTTGGTCGGCATGGCAGCTAGGCACCGAAAGGGTGTTACAATTAAACGAATACCGCGTTTGTAAGAAAAAGCACCACTGGTGATGCAAATAGTGACTAATGATACCGTTCAGCTTTAACAATCCTTCAGTTTCTAGTTGAAAATCCACCCGAAGAAGGCACAAAAGCTGAGATACTACTGCTAGGTTGCGCGAGCCTAGTCCGAGGTATTCGAGAAGCTTGAGTTGGTTTCGAACAAAGTTCCTCAACAACCGAGTTATCTCAAACTCAGCTGTTAGTTTATTCTGCATAGGGGAATGAGATGGTCCAAGCGAATTTACTGACTGGAAGGTCCGTGGTTCAAACCCAACCACTGCCCCAACCTGGCAGTATCCCAGCCCTCGTGCTCCCCCAGGGCTGCATGGCAGTTGGGCACCGAAAGGGTGTTACACCAGGATGAGCATCGCTACTAGCATTCGTTGTACGCTGGGTGTGACAGTGTGGGTCTTGGTTGGTGAAGTATTTGTTCAGCTAGGATGCGGTTTGTGGTTTTATCCCTCTCCCCGAGCTTTTGCCTTCTGGTTCGCATTGTTTAACCTTAGACTTCTCATTTCGAGCCAACCGCAATTCACCGCACTTAGTTCGACCCCGTTCTACCGTTTCAGCTAACCATGGATGTTGGAAATGCATTTGGTGCGCTCACTGTCACTTCGAATTCAGCGTTTCTCCGTTCACTCCGAAACGAGGTTAGTCCATTTTAGCTCTCTGTGTCTGTCTAGCGATTTTACATTCATCGCTATTGCAAATATCGCTTGTTCAGTTTACATTGTTCTTTTTGAAGATTACTGCTATGAATTTACTGTGTGCTAACGGCTAGAGATACTAGTTGCACTGGAAATCAAATTCTCAGCTTAAAGTCTCTCACTTTCCCCATCAAAACGACAGGGCTAGAAAAAAGAAAATCGTCAAGTTGAGGGTGAACAAACCGAGGGATCACCCATCCGAAATACCCCTTCACATCAGTGTTCGTTTCTATCACGACCAGGAGGGACGTTGGGCCCTTGTTATACGCTGAGAATTTCATAAACGAATGGTACCTTCCAACTTCCGAGCTCGAAGAAGGAGTCTTGTTTGAGTTAGCCCACCTATGACGGGCATGACGCTCGTTCTTCAAGGCTGTCGCCTTCAGAATGTAGCTGCTTGGAAGTTTCTTGTTTCTTAGGAGCGATACGGGGCGAGATGGACCAAGTGGTTAGAGCGCGAATTTACTGACTGGAAGGTCCGTGGTTCGAACCCGACCTGTGGCTCTCGACTTCCCCTGTCTAGGCTTGGGCAACCTGGTAGTATCCCAGCTCTCGTGTGGCATGGCAGCTAGGCACCGAAAGGGTGCTACAGCTGAACGATCGAACGATAAGACCGATACAAACCAGCTAATCATGCCATCACCTCTAATGCTTGGCCACATCTCTCATGCTCTCCTATCTTGTGATGACAGAAACTGTAGCAGCTGGAGAGAGCGTACCATTGGCAAATTGTTCCTAGGTGATAGACCGAACTGAACGTCGTTATGGCTGGACGATCCGTTTTCGGAAAAGAGTGCTGATAACCAGGGATGCTGGATTGGTGAATTCGTCGCAATAGTTGATCCTTCTTCCCACTTATTGTTAGGTTTTCACGCACAAAATGACAACCGGTTCTTGGTGAAGTACTATTAAACTCCGAAATACCATTCGACACATTGAATGTTTTACAAAACTTATGTGGAAGAGGTCACCTTTCATGTGTTTCGGAAATGCAGTCAGCTGCTTCTATGCGCCGCCTCGTAACCAGTTTCTGAGAGCTTACCGTCACGGTGCGTAGTTGGTATCCCCAAAAACGATCTGTAATGCCAGAAGAAAGTCTGCAACAACAGCGAGTGCTTTTCCCATGTCTTCTAGGGTTGGTTGAACCGCTGGTAATGCACTAGGGAATTCGGATTGACACCACTGACCAAAACCAGTTGTGGACTAACTACTTTTGGAAGTTTTTTTCTAGCAGAATAGTCAAACCATTTGGCCATGATACTTTGTCATGCGATTCTAATATGGTCCAATAGCGTGGGTACTGCTATGTTGTCCAAGTTTGGATAGGAGCCATTGAATTTAACACGGGTGGGTTGAATCGGCGCAGTTCTTCAACGGCAGCTCGACTCTCTTCACTTTGTACGCACATATCGCCCGGTGCACATAAGGTGTACGATATACCCAACCCTAAAGTCGCTGAAATGCGAGAACTTTTTGTCATGATGTTTGAAGCAAACATCATTTGGTTACCCAAACCTGTCAAGTAGGAAGACGTCGGTAGCGGGGGTAAAATACACCGCATATTTTCAAGCCCTTTTTACTAAATTGTTCACTGTATTTTCATGCTTCTTTCATCACGTGATCTGTTCATTGCACGAGTATTGTTCGTCTACATCTTCTCCACAGGGTCTCAAATACTCTGCCCTACTTCTGCCAGCCCGTGCGTTGACCGAATCGGCTGCTCGAATAGGCCGAAGTGCCGAGCCCAGAGATACTTGATACTTCTAATTCCCCATGTACATATGAATACAGACTACTTGCTTCTATGTGCCAAATTGCACTCCTGTTCGAAGCAACCTTTTTTTCACCACCGCCGGGAAACTACTTTTTCAGGGAACTGGGAAAATAGTATTTTCGTCGACCTATCGCTCTGTTGTCGTCACTCGGAAACATCTGTACGGGAACTCCTCTCTTGTGTTTTGCGATGGGTTCTAGAGACTTGAAAGAAGAAGCTTCAGTGTCCATGGGCCTACATGCGTGTCTTCTGCATTCCCTTCCTGATTCTCCATCATCAACTGTGAAAACGGTGTACTCGTTATGCCTGGTAAAGACTACCAGAGTTTCACTCATTTGGAAACAAACTTGGTTCCGCCAAACCAGCTGAATCTCTCGTTTGTGACGTTTCTTTCGCTGATGATCTGGGGCGGTAGATGTAGATAGCTATGCTTTAGAGGCATTGACCGTTTCCTGGTTGGCATATCACGCGAACTGCACCAGCATAGTGTAGATAATGCCACATGTATTTTAAGTATGCAGCCAGATGAGCACCCTCAAACCTCATGGAATCTGGCTGGAGGGTGAACTGTTGGGGGACAGTTCTAAATCTATTACTGTGCCCAATCGGTGGCCTACTATTATCGATTTAGGTAGACAATCTGACGTTTTGAGCATCTCCTGGAACAGGTATATTGGCGGTTAGTGTTAGTCAGTTATTACTCCACAACAGTGATCACGGATGGTCACGTCTAGCACCGTTTCAGGCTCCGAAATGTCCAGAGTGTTCTGGAGATCATTTGCAGAACCGCATGTGACAGACGAGTACAATGCAACACCATAAAATACAACAATACAGCAATACATTTCAGTATGATATGATAACCGTATATTTGGAAAGCAACAGAAAGTCTGGTACCTGAGCCAAGCTCGTATGGGTTCAGTCTGCGGCACTTCCAAAGACGACAATCGAGGCCCATTAAAACACATACGTTTTGTGACAGATATTCCTCGATGAAGCCTTGTTACTTCAGAGCGCTCTAGTGGAACGTAAGGTTGACGGAAACTCGGGGACTGCGCCTACCTGATGAGCCCCAAAAAGGGCGAAACCGGTCTTGGGCTGTCGACGGATTTTCAGCTGCCTTGTGAGTAGTTTCCTTCATGAAAATATACCCGTTTTGCAAGTTCACTAGAAAGGTTTTGATTCTGATCGCATTTGACTGAGTGTTACTGATGTAGCTTGATACATGTCTGGGTGTGAATTACTAACTGAAAAGTTTGCGGTCCAAAAACTACTCCGACTTTTTGGTACTTTCCGTCGAAACTTCATTCACGTGGCAACATCTCAATTTCGTTTTCTTCCGGATGCATGATACATGTTCGTCGAAACTGATGTACCCAGCAAGGTTTTCGCTGGTTACATCCTCCAACGGGACCAACAATCATTCAGTCACTCATAGCCGTTTACATTTTACCTGTAAACTGTAACCAAGTAATGCTGAAGGTAATCCAGTTGTGCCACACTGTCGTTCGTTGGTTGGGTGAAAACGGTCAAAGAATATTTCCTCAGGTCGAATACATGGCCGGACTAAGCATGCTATTCGGTCCACAAAATCAGCGTCTCCTAATTCTCCGATGACTCGCTCATTATGAAGATCTCCGTCTACATACTCGGAGGTCTTGAAGCGCCCCAATTTCACACAGGAACAGCCTGTTCATACCTAGACAGAGAAATCTAGTGATCTGAACACTGATAGCACCTAGAAAATTGATCGACGCGTATCCGGGTTTACAGAGTTTTTATAAATAATCCGTGTGGCGGAAATACAAGATCTTTATCTCTCTGATGTAGACTGTTCCTTCAATACAGCCAAATATGAGCCTATAATGAATAACTGCATTGTTGGCAGGTGCGACCAGAACACGTGAAAACCTTACTAATGTTATAAGTTAATTGGTTCAGCGAAGCTTTGTTCAGGCTGTTTGGGTGGGGCAATACACTAGGGAGTTTATTTTTTCCACGTCACTAAAAATTCATCTGGCATTAAGGTTCACGTTTTCGTGTGTCTGAAAGCAGATGCCGCTCTTCAGTTCACAGATACACTTCCAGGTTGTTGTTTAGGTGATGACCCAATGAAAGTTCCCACACCAGTGAAACTTCGCAGAACGATTTCCTGAAAACTGCTTGCGCACAATGCAGCCTACATGGTTCAACAGTGTGGTATTTCATTTCAAAGTGTTTGGCGATCCACTTCGATGTGTAACCTAACAAGCTAAAGGTGTAGTACGTGAAAGGTGCAGAGCGAAACAATTCCATCGTACAGGATTTTGAGTCCGAATCAAAATTTACATCCGACGGCACGTCGTTCGGGGAGCTACTCAGTACGTGACCATGTGATGTGGTTAACAAATCAGCGCCGTCCAAGTGAGAGCTAATAACGATGTTGCTCAGTCGCTCCGAGAGTCGCGGGTTTGAAACTCCTTACTGCAGTTTCGTACAACGCGCAATGTTTCCCAGTAAGAATGACTCAGCTATGCTTTGATTTTCAACTTTTCAGCATAGATTGGCTTTACTCGTAGAATTACATCGCAATTAAGAACCGGGCGTCATAAAACCTCGAAGCCATTGTTGGTACCTCAACGGGTATTTGATGCGAGCTTCGTACTGCGGGGTGCCTAGTCAGGAATATGCGCTCAGTGTTGTTGAACGAAACACATGATCTCTTGTAATCCGAGTGGAGTTCACTATGTAAGCGGAAAGGATTCATTTCATCAGGCAATTCGTAGTCCGTCGCGCTGATCGGCCAGTTCGAATGGACTGCCCGGATAAGGTATAAATAGCTATTTTAGAGGTGACTTGATAACTTTCCCTTTTCTATTGAAATCGAAAAATCTACAGTACTATCAACACAGAATAATACATACTGCTGCCTAGCTGTAATGCAACCATGAGGGAAGAAAGACCTGGTAAGTAGTGGGCGTAAAAAGGAGGGCGTGGGCTTAGTACACAGGGGCCGTAAGTAAAACGATTGAGAATGAACTGCCTACACTTTTGGATGACATCAAAATAGACTAATCTGACCCAACGTCATTGACGATCTCATCCAAAAACACACGAACAGTGTTAGCCGTTGGTCAGGTGGCAGTTAGTCTCATCTCCGAGCTTGGAAATTGGCTTAGAAGACACTCCGTCAGAATCCGAGGGGATATTTTAATTACGGGTTTGGATGAGTCTCACTTGCCTGCGCTGCTCAGTGGACTTACTTAGACTACTGTTGACTAGAAGTTTTCAGGTTTTCCTTGAAGCGCGTGAAAAATCAGGGGCGATTCCGACTGTCCACTAGTAGTTAGGTCCTTGAAAATGTTCAGCCCGCGCGCCAAAGTTGAATTACAATCAGATTACATCATTTCTACTGAGTTCGGGAAGCCGGTTTACATAAAGCTGTTTGTATTTGCTTAACTGTCCCAAAGAAGTGATTAGAGTTGTTAGGCCGACGCATCTGATCCAAGTTAACGCGTAGCGGCCTGCCGAACTTCAACCCATGGTGATTCGAACGATTTATCCAGTTAATAGAGATTTCGTTCTGTCAATCAAGCCCGTCTATGCTGAAAAGCCGAGAAGTACTGGTCAGCTGTTTCCTCCTTTGGAGAGTAATCAGCAGTGCGCATCTCACGAAACTCAATGTAGATTTGAACTGTTAACCGTTCAATTGCAAGCAGCTAATCAGCAGTGTGGTTAACTCGCACTTAGCATATAACGCCACCAATCAATCATTTGCCAAACCACATCACATGCTCACATACTGTCTGGCCTCCCAAGCGACTTCTCCGATGGAAGTTTTACTCGTCTTGTGAAATAATAGAAGAACCAGCTCAGAACGTAACTGAACTACACAACTGGCGATGGAACAACCGTTTTCGTTGAGACAGATCTAATTGGTTGGTTTTTACTTGCCCTTGACAGATGAGTTCTATTC